ACCACCAAAATGAAACCAAGAAGTCCCCATAACAAATGAGGAGATTGAAATACTAAAAACCTTCCAGCTAAAAGAAGAAGAAAAAAAGTTCAGGGTCAGAGGAATTCATAACAGAATTCTACCAGATAGTCAAAGATCTACAGTCAGTCCTTCTTAAACTATTAAAATAAAGAGAAGAGAAGGAAACAGAAGGAGCACTCCCAAACTCCTACTGTATCAATCTAATCCTAAAGCAGGGAAAGACACAACAGAAAAAAGAAAACTATAGGCCAATATCTCTAATAAACACAGACTCAAAAATACACAATGAAATACTTCCAAGCAGAATATACAAATACATCTAAAAAATTATACACCATGACTAAGTAGGCTTTGTACCTGAAATGCAGGGAACATACGCAAGTTAATAAATGCAATAAACCACATTCAAAGACCCCAAAAAAATCACATAATCATTCCAACAAATGCAGAAAAAGCCTTTTATTATCAGCATACCTTGATGATAAAAGTTCTAGAGAATGTGGGGCTAGAAGGAACATACTTCAACATAATAAAAGCTATACACAAGGAGCCTACAGCCAACACCATCCCCAGCCAGTGGTTCTCAAACCTCCTAACACTGCAAACCTTTAATACAGTTCCTCATGTTGTGGTGACCCCAACCACAACATTATTCCATAGCTACTTCATACCTATAATTTTTCTACTATTATGAATTGTAATGTAAATACTTGATATGCAACCCCAAGGAAGTCTGACCCACAGGTTGAGAACCAATATCCTAAATGGAGAAAAGCTTAAGACAGATATCCACTATTCCCATTGTTTTTCAACATTATGTTGAAGGTTCTAGCTGGAGCAATAAGGCTAGAGAAGGAATTAAAGGATACAAATAGGGAAAGAAGCAGTCAACTATCCCTCCTTGCAGGTACCTTAGAGATCCCAAAAACTCTACCAGAACTTCTAGAAACAATAAACAAATTCAGGACTGTAGCAGGATGCAGAATCAACTTGCACAAATCAATAGCTTCTCTATACACCAACACCACACATGGAGAGAAGATCATGGATATATTCCCAATCACAACAGCCACGAAGAAAACAAAACATCTAGGAATAAGCCTAATAAAGAAATGAAGGACCTCTACAATGAAAACTTTAAACCTCTGAAGAAAATGGGAAGACATCCCATGCTCATAGATTGGTAGAATCAACATTGTGAAAATGACCATTTTACCAAAAGCTATGTACAGCTTCAATGCAATCCCAACCAAAATCCCCATCTCATTCTTCACAGAAATAGAAAAGAAAAAAAAATCATAAAATTCATATGGAACCACAGAAGACCCAGAATAGCCAAAACAATCCTGAACATAAAAACAATGCTTAAGGGATTACAATTCCAGATCTTAAGACATATTACAGAGTCATAGTAATAAAAAAAAAAAATAGCACTGGCTCAAAAACAGACACATAGACCAATGGAATAAAACTGAAGACCCAAACATAAGCAAACATGCATCAACTACTTTATTAGACAATTATGCTAAAAATAAGAAAGTATCTTCAACAAATGGTGTTGAGAAAACTGGCTGTTCTAAAGCAGAATGAGATTATACTTGTATCCATCACCTTTCACAAAAACTCACTTCAACTGGATGAAAAATCTACACATGAAACACTGAAACTACTAGAATAAAATAAATCATATACCTACATGATAAAGGTATAGGAAATGACTTCCTGAATAGGACCCATCTGCCTAAGAATTAAGGACAATTGACAACCGGATTTCATAAAACTAAGAAGCTGCCAGGCGGTGGTAGTGCACACTTTTAATCCTAGCACTCAGGAGGCAGACACAGGTGGAACTCTGTGAGTTCTAGGCCAGCCTGGTCTACTGAGCAAGCTCCAAGACAGCCTTCAAAGCTACAAAGAAACCCTGTCTCAAAAAAACAAAACAAAAGGACAGGCGTTGGTGGTGCATGCCTTTAATCCCAGCACTCGGGAGGCAGAGGCAGGCTGATCTCTGTGAGTTCGAGGCCTGGCTGGTCCAACAGCCTCCAAAACAATACAGAGAAACCCTGTCTTGTAAAACCAAAAAATAAATAAATAAATAAATACCAACAAACAAACAAAAACAAAAACTAAGAAGCTTCTGCACAGTAAAAACAACAATCAACTGGGGCTGGAGAGATGGCTCAATGGTTAAGAGCACTGGCTGTCCTTCCAGTGGACCTGGGTTCACTTTCCAGCACCTGCCTGGTGGCTCATACTCATCTGTAACTCCAGTTCCAGGGGACCCCACACCCTCTGACTTCCATGAGGAAGATATTGGTCATCAGCCTCTGGCCTCTACATGCATTCACCCAGGCATGCTAGTCAGTAAGGTCTAGCAGCCCTGGGGCAGGGAGTGCAGTGGGGCAGCTGCACCCGGCTTTTTCATGTGAGTATTGGGGATTCAAACTCAGATGTTCCTGTGCAGCACATGCTCATAAAGCAGAAACCACTGGGCATCTCCCCAGCCAGAAAAGGGATTTTAGATAGTAGTATAGTGGTCCTAAAGATTTTTCAAAAATGGAAATAGAAGAAAATCAGAACAAAAACAAGTTTAAGCACGTTTCAGAAAGTCTAACTTTTTAAAAAAAAAAAAAGAGGTACTCGCCGAGCACTCAGGAGGCAGAGGCAGGCAGATCTCTGTGAGTTCGAGGCCGGGCTAGACTGACAGCCGCCAAAACAATACAGAGAAACCCTGTCTCGTAAAACAAAAAAACAACAACAAAAAAAGGTACTCATAAAAGATAAACCTTAAAGATTTTGTGTGTGTGTGTGTGTGTGTGTGTGTGTGTGTGTGTTCTCAAACATGCACGTGTGTGCTCTTATATTGTATTGGCTGTATTGCTATGTGGTCTGATGACCCAAGAAACACCACCCTCTATTCCAGATTTCCATAAAATGTCTCCAAGCTTGAACCTTCTTAGGTTGGACAGGTTGAGACTTTTGATCCCTGAATAGGTAGGTCTGCAACTCTATCCAACACCAAATTAGTTCTAGAAAACAGATTTTTTTGCCTTAAAAATCTCAGAGGGAACGGGGCGGCGGTGGCGGTGGCAGTGGCGGTGGTGCACACCTTTAATCCCACCAGAGACAGGCTGGTGAGTTTGAGACCAGCCTGGCCTACAAAGTGAGTTCCAGGACAGGCTCCAAAGCTACTCAGGGAAACCCTATCTTGAAAAACAAAGCAAACAAAAGTCTTAGAGTTGCCGGGCGTTGGTGGCGCACACCTTTAACCCAGCACTCGGGAGGCAGAGGCAGGTGGATCTCTGTGAGTTCGAGGCCAGCCTGGTTTACAAAGTGAGTTCCAGGACAGCCTCCAAAGCCACAGAGAAACCCTGTCTCAAAAAACCAAAAAAAAAAAAAAAAAAAAAAAAGTCTTAGAGTCTCAGTGGTTAAAGCCTCTGGAACTGAGAATCGATTAGTCAATAAGTCACGGCCCTTGCCACTAAGTCTAAGGACCTGAGTTCCATCCTGGAGTCCACATAGTGGAAGACCAGAACCAATTCCTGAAAGTTGTCCCCTGACCTCCACAGGTGCCAGGACATGCACACTCTCTCTCTCTCTCTCTCTCTCTCTCTCTCTCTCTCTCTCTCTCTCTCTCTCTCTCTCTCTCTCTCTCTCTCTCTCTCTCACACACACACACATATACAAGTAAATAGGAGGAGGAGTTTCCAACACAAGTAAGCTTTTGGTGTGAAGATAACCAACATAGAAATATTCTTTTTATATGAAAAGAATGTAATTAACATAGAAATAATATTCCTTTTATAAAGAAAAGAATGTTAAAATAGTAGTGAACCATGTTTAAGACTTATGCTTGCAGTACCTTCAAATATAGCCTTACTCCTTTCCCAGATATTTTCTGGGGATCCTCAAAACAAGGCTAAATTTTTGTTTATAGGAAAACATCTTAACTTCTTGAGCAACCTTTGAGAACTAGGGTAATCCCATGCGTGATTCACAATCTGCTAAATTTCTTAGAGATCCTGTTAAGTATAACTCAGGCACCACCAAAGCCCACTAAATATGGTCACTGTACAGACAGTTTTGACCCCTTTGAGCAGCCTGGACACTAATCTCAGGTGTGTCTTTCTTCCCTGAGCTCCTCACTTTCCTTTAGTCCCCAGCCTTAAATCAATGTTTTAAAACATGCTAATAAACCCCAACTCTACTTCATAACAGCCAGAATTATTTTTCTGTGACACAGTCAAGAACCCAGCTTTACCTAAGCAGCGATTCCTAAGGGGAAGAAAACTCGAACTGCTCCCAGCAATGTGGAGCATGTCCTCCACCCATCTCCCCTGACAATTAGCTCAATACACAGGTACCCAGAAACATTTGGAAGTTATCTTTGCCACTTTTTTTTTTTGAGACAGGATCTCATGTAGTCCATGCTGACCTTGCTGTGTAGCCAAGGATGACTTTGAATACCTGATTCCCTGAGTGCCGGGTGCTGCTATTTAAAACCTGCATCAGTATACATGGCTTTCTTTGTCACTTTTTAAAAAACTTCTCAGCTCAAGTTTTCACAGACAGAAAGAAACCCTGGAAAGAGAAGCCTTCAAACAAATTTGTCGTAAGAGACAAACTTGTGTGGACTTCTTGCCCAAGTAGTCAACTTAAGCCACAGATCCCAACTCTCCAAAAGCTTAGACATCTCTCACTTGCTCAATGTAACCCTTCCTCACACGAATCCAGGCATACCCACATCATAGACATATAGAGCCAGGGCCCAAGTCTCCCACACCTCATGGATGCTAATCAAGGGCCATTCCGTCTCTTTCCAAGGGACCTGCAGAGTTGACACTTCTACAATCTTTTTCCAATTCTCCCACACCATCCTGCTGCAGGCAGCTTTTAAAACTCTGTACACCAGCCCTCCCCACTTTCAAGACCCTGCCTTTGTTATTCAGAAGGTGAGGTCTGAGGAAAACATCACTCACCTCATGCTATAAGCACCAGCACCCAGTTCCTGGCCAATGCCGGACAGGCTAGCATCGAAGTCCTGCACCAGCCCGGACTCGATCACTTCATCCGCCAGCGGCAGCTTCAGAGCCCAGGCCATACCGACTCCTTCCTGGCCCTGTACGAAGGCACGGAGGGTAAACTCTACCCGGCAGGGACACCACAGCAGTCGTGGACTACACACCAAGCTCCCTCGCGCAGCGCACCAGAGTCCCGTGCCTGACCTGCTGGCTGCACCTCAGCTCCTCCTCCGGTGCCCCGGGCGCTCTCGGGACGTGCCAGAGCTCAGAGCCTGGGACTAGGATGCTCTCCAGCCCTCCCAGCGCCCTGCACACAGCCTCAAAGCAAACAAGCGCAGCACGCCAGCCGCTCGCAGTTTCCCCTCCGCCCCCTTCCCCTGAAAGCTCCTCCCTCCCGGGGATTCGCACTTTCCCCTCAGGCCTCGCTTCCGGTCAGTCAGATCACTTCCGGTCACCTGTCCTCCCGGTCCTCCACCCTCCGAACAAAAAAGCCAGGTTTCTGCGGAGCGGTCCCTACGCCCTCTGCAGCCGCGGTGACCTCCTAGAGACGTGGACGCAGAAAGTTCGGCGCGGCTTCGACACGCAAACTCGGCCCGGCCCGACCAATCGTGGCGCTGAGGGTGACGTTTCTGCGCCGCCCACCAATGAAGAGGAGCCTGGCTCGGCCTCCGCAGTAGTGATAGGCTAATGAAGCTAAGGTTCCCCGCCCCCATAGGCGGTGGGCGGGGCCCAGGGTCCGGGCCCAGGTGTAAACCGGATTCTTGCGCGCCTAGGAATGCTAGGATGCCTGTCTCTGCCTGAGACGTCTGTCTGTCTGAGCGCTGTGGTTCTGGCCTCACCTAGCCCCCTGCCATCCCTGGAGGGACTTTCCCTGTCGCTCTGTCTTAAACTCTCCTCACTTACCTATCCTTATCTTCCTCTTTCTCCCTAATGCATTAGAACAGGAGAAAACGGGGTGGTTTTTGTTGTTGTTGTTGTTGTTGATGTTTTGACATCAGCTTTGACTGGCCTGGAACTCAGAGATTCGCCACATCTGCCTGCTGAGGGCTAGGATTAAAAGCGTTGCCCACCATACCCCGCTCTTTTTTTTTTTTTTTTAAGGTTATGGAGGAGTTCTGCGGGAAAGCTCTACAGAGCAAAGTCAGGGCTGGCATTTATTTATAGTTCCATAAATTCAGAATACTCCCACAGAGGTTACTTAATTGTAAATAAAGAAACCATAGCCAGGCCATGGTGGCTCACGCCTTTGATCCCAGTACTCCACAGTCAGAGGGAGGCTGATCTCCCGATTTCCAAGCAAGCCAGGGCTACACAGTGAAGATCCCGTAGCAGGGGGATGAATTGGTACCAACTCCACCTTGCTGTTTTGAGGATTAAGTAATTATGGCCATTTTTATTAAGCATTAGCTATATAGCAGTGTATTATGAACAATATTTCTTTACTAGAACTCCTCAAGACAGAGTTGTAATTAGAATGCTAATAGAGTGTGGTGGTGCACTCCTAAAACCCTAGCCCTCGGTAGTAGGTTGAGGCAGGAGGATCACCTACATAGCAAGCTCCAGGACAGCCAGGTCTACCTAGTGTCTTAAATTCTAAAGGCAAAGGGCACTTACTTTACCAATCCGAAAATAGGCTGAGGGCTTAAATGAGCCAAAACTAATTGTTGTGATAAACCTGACGCTCAATGGAATACACATACGAGAAAAGTGTGCATCGTTATGTAGTTCATCCCAATTTTTTTTTTTTTTTTTTGGTTTTTTGAGACAGGGTTTCTCTGTAGTTTTGTAGGTTGTCCTGGAACTAGCTCTTATAGACCAGGCTGGTCTCGAACTCACAGAGATCCGCCTGTCTCTGCCTCCCAAGTGCCGGGATTGAAGGCATGTGCCACCAATTATTTTTACAGTCTGCTTTGACTTACATTTTTGTATAAAAACGACTTCTCCCACTGAATGTCTACCTCCTAAGAGATCGAGGAAATTACTTGGTGTGGTGGCCCACACCTTTAATCCCAGAATTCAGGGAGCAAATGAAGGAGACTATAAGTTTGGGGCCAGCCTGGTCTACAAGGGCAGAGTTAAAGGTAAAAGGCCAAGGCTGGTAGCATATGCCAGAAGTTCTAGCACTTAAGAAAATGAGGCATAAATATCATGAGTCCTTGCAAGGCCAGCCTGGGCTAGTCTGCACTATAGAGTGAGATGATGTCTAAAAGGAAGGAAGGAAGGGAGGAAGGAGGATGTCCCTCTGTATACTATTAATCTCTGTCTCTCTCTGTCTCTGTCTCTCTCTCTCTCTCCTCTCTCTCGGTTTTTCAAGACAGGGTTTCTCTGTATTGCTTTGGAGCCTGTCCTGGAACTTGTTTGGTAGAACAGGCTGGCCTTGAACTCACAGAGATCCGACTGCCTCTGCCTCCCCAGTGCTGGGATTAAAGGCATACGCCACCAACACCTGGCTAATACATGTTTCTCTTATTGGTTGATGAATAAAACACTGATTGTCCAGTAGCCAGGCAGGAAGTATAAGTAGGGTTACCAGAGGAGGAGAATTCTGAGGAGAGGACACAGAGAAGAGCCACCAGAGAGATGCCATGTAGCTACCTGGAAGGTAGGACACCCAGGCATTCTCTGATAAGATAGGGTCATGTGGAGATACACAGAGTAATAGTTATGGGATAATAATTAAGAGAGAGCTAGCCAATAAGAAGCCTGAGCCATTGACCAAACAGTTTATAATTAATATAAGCCTCTCTGTGTTTACTTGGAACTGAATGGTGGCAGGACATGAGGGAAAAGAAACTCCGTCTACAGAGAGAGACACAGACAGAAAGGGACAGAGAAAGGGGAAGGAAAGAAAGAAGGAAGGGAGGAAGGAAGGAGAAAAGAAAGGGGGAGGGGCTGGGAAAATGGCTAAGAGGTTAACAGCAAAAACTACTCAAAACCTTGTGTAACTCCAGCCAAGAGTGACCCAATTCCATTGACTTCTGTGGGTGTTCACATACACATATCCCTCCCATGGTGTATATATGGTTAAAAATATTTTATTTTTAACGTCCAACCCGATAAGAAGTTTATAAGACAGGAGTGATGGCTCAGTGGTCAAGAACACTGGCTGCTTTTCCAAGGACCTCCATGACCACTCACAACAGTCTGTAACTCCAGTTCCAGGAGAGCTGACTTCCTGTCTGGCCTTCTGAGGGCACCAGGAACACACATAGTACATAGATACATGCTGCTGTCTGGGGGACCAGCCTCCAGTAGCACAGGACTTTGAAAGGAATCCAAGGAATCCAGTTGGCTTAAGCTAAATTTTTCTGTCTGAGGGGGATTTTAGGAAAGCAAACACTCATACATTCTCCTGATGGCTTCCTTCTTTATTCTCTGTTCTCTCTCATGTTCTTTCTACTCTATACTTTTTTTTCTGCAGCTTATATACCCCAACAAAGTTTTTCAGGCAATATAGGAATTACAATGTGGTTACATTCTGTTGTTCAAGTGAAGGATTACAATAAATACAAAACAAACAATAAAAACCAGCATGTTTTCCCTGTCCCTTACATGATTAAACATTTTACGTATGACAGGTGAAAACCAAATTATTCCAAGAACCCACATGCATTCATACCCAAGCAACTTGTAATAGATTAACAGTGTGGGCAAACAAAGTATTCTTGTTTGGTCTTTTACTTTTTATATATGAAAAAGAATCTGTCAGCTCTACTTTAAATCTTTAGGGTATATATCCACTCATCAATAGTTTTCTATATTAGGAGATTAAAGGCAGAAAATGGGTATAAGGAAGTAATTATCACCTTTGGTGTTTAACTAGACCTACTAAGGGGAGCTAGGTACAATCAGGCTGTTTTGTATTTTTGACCCTAGCCTAATGAGTCAGAGAACTCATCTATGTGTCCTTGTGAAGTTTATTTTGTTTTCTGGGATTATTTATCTTAAAACTATTAGCAAGGCATCTAGTCTAAGTTATTTTGAAGCTTTGTATTAGCTGATGGTACATGACTGCCTCTTTTCAGCATTAAGGGAATTAGAGTCAGTCTGGCTCCTGGACTCAGGTGCTTTCCTTTTAATCCTAAGGTGGCGCTAGTAGCTGTGAAACATATCCTTGTATTTATTTTATTTTTATTCATCAAAATGCTGTATAGGCTATCATTATAATCAGTTTAGACAGTACAGCGTAGGGAGAGGCATCTTGACAATCCACAGGTAAAATGCCCAGTGGAATGGGATGTTTCCAAGACACAAACACACTGCATTACAGGCAGTGAAGATCTCTCCATGTCCACCCACACCGTGCTAGACACCAGGGAAAGAGAGCTGCAGAAAACTTGTAAAGACACAGCAGAAGAAAAAAACATTCCACCATGTGCAGTCCGGTGGCCTTGCCTAAGCAAGATTGTGCCATCAGAGAGTTTTCTTCTGGTGGGCTGACCACTGGAACTTCAGGTAAGACATGCTGCTCCTCTGACATGGCCAATGGCAGATACACATGCAAGCAAAACATCCATACATATAAAATAAATTTAAATGTTTTTAAATTAAAAAGGGGAGCAAGTATTAAGCCTGTTCTTCATCCACTCCTATGGGTTGAAAACTTATGCTTCATCCCTGGGAGTTAGGGTCCTCCAGTGAAAGGGTTTTCCAGTGCAAGAGTATTTTGGCAATTGGGAGCCAAGGAATACCACAATGACACACCACCCAACAAACCTCACATGAGAGATTCATTGGGGAGAAACACAGAAAGGCAGCTGCCTCTGAGTGGGAACAGAGACAGCAGTGGGCTGGGTGAAGGGACAGGCTTTTATGGGGTCTTTGGAGCATGTGCAGTGAACTGGGGAGAAAGAACAGCACGGCTGGAAGTATTGCTTGGCTGTTAATCCTGAGTCATGCGAGTGACATTTCCAAGTCTCAGGTTTGGGGACAGGTCAGGTACAGGCTGATTTTCCACTGGCCAGTTATCCTACATCCCACTCTTTTCTGTTTAATTGTGTAATAAAAACTGATTAAAGGTTTGGTTAGAAAATTTTTGAATTTGTTGTTGAAGAAATCTAGATAAAAAGTTTATTAACTCTTTTTTTTCTCTTGAGACAGGGTTTCTCTGTATGGCTTTGGAGCCTATCCTGGCACTCACTCTGTAGACCAGGCTGTCCTCAAACTCACAGAGATCCACCTGTCTCTGCCTCGCAAGTGCTGGGATTAAAGGCGTGCGCCACCAACACCCAACCCGATAAGAAGTTTATGAGACAGGGAACAATTAGTAGGATTAGGAAAAGGAGGAGAAGAGGAGTTAAGAAAGGTCCATATTGGACATCAATGATCCACCAGCCAGAGGTATCAAGCTGTTCCTTATGACTTTGGGGAT